GGCAAAGATATTTTGGCAAAAGTGAATGGTTTTTTTTATAGAGGTATGCATATAATTTGATATTATTAATTCTGGATTTTATTATAAATTTTCATGTATATTAAATCTCCTAATTTAGGTCTATAAACAAATGATATTTAAGGAAGTAAACTAGCAGTGCTAACAACTGAACACACTTGCTTTTGTGTGACTTTGAAGCCCAGTCACTGAATGACTTTACAGCTCTTTGCCCGTCAGCCCCAAGGGAGAGAAGAATGCCAAAAACTCTGCAGTAGAGACTGATAATATCAAGCACTGATTTTAAAATACTCTAATAAATTCACTCTTATTTTAAATTCACTCTAATTTTCAGAACATCCTTGAAGAGTTAAGCTGTTAAGTAAATATTTTCTAAGCATAGTTCTGGGAAGCAGGTGTGTAAAATAAAGGAGAGACTTAGCAAGGCCATACTGTTTGCTGGAGAAGTCTTAAAATCAGTCCTGAATGGGTCAGGACTCTGACAGAGATGTACTTCATATAACACATTTTTTAAATGTAAAACAGTCCTCCAAGCACATGACTTCTAGAATTCAGTTGGCTTATGCCAGGCTCACTTAAAGATACAATCCTTTGCGTCTTTGTTTCCCAGTCAAATATATCAGTAGCAATGAAAGACAGCATAATTAAACTTCAATTAGCCATAGCCAATCTATTAACTATACTGATAGTCTTTAGTCTAGTTTTCATTGTAGTCTAAGTTAATTGTCTGAAATCACTAAGAGCACACCTAGGAACATTTACCACAATAACTCACCTAAATTCTAAATCCCATTCATCAGGAAAGCTATTTAAATTTCCATTGTCTTTACCTGGACGCAAATGTATTTAATAATATCGAATAACAAAATAACTCTTTCTTTGAAACTATTTACAACCTCTCAAACCTTACTTTTTCCCTGACTGCTTCAAGAAACTACCTAATACACTGATTTCTACACTGGGAGAATCTACTGGAGTAGCTTAGGGCATGGATATAATGGCAGCTGGGAAAGATCTGTGCTTTTAGTCAGATGTGATTGGAATCCATCACACACACACACATATATTTGTATATATTTACTATCACAGAGAGAAAAATAGTCTCTGACGTAATGTGGTTTTATTTGCTTGGTCTGCACAGCAGCAGCAGCACATAGAAGCTTTCAGGTATTAACATAATATTTTTCATTCATAATTGTTTCCTGACACAAAGGTCGCTCTTAACAATAAGACATCAAGGAAACATTTCAGGAGCCTCAGCTATGGAAATTTGGCTGCTTGAACCATAAACTTGTATTTTTGCCTGCAGTGAACGAACGGCAGCTTTTAAAACAAAACCAGTGCATTTTACATACACGTAATTAGCTCAAAACACATGTGACTCCACAAGCTTACCTGTGTCTGTGGGCTTTATGTATGAAGCAGAAAGCATGGATTAGCATTGCTAAATTGTGATCCTACTGATTTAAGTCAGCTAGGAGTTTGGACATGGAGGACATTCTCCAGTGTTTAGAGTCTACGGTTAAACACAAAAACAAAAAAGAAAGAGAGGAAAAGGAGTAGGGCTGTAGAAAACACCAACTAAGAATATATCTTGCCAAGTACCAGTACAGCAAGAGTCCTTCAGTGCCCTGACATCATGTAGAAAAGCTCTCTTCAGTGCATAGATTTAAGTTAAACCTGACGGATTTACCACTCAGATTTATGAATTTTTTAAAGGTCCAGTAAGTTGGAACTCATTTGCAATTAAAATTTGTAAATTTTGTAAAGTTGTAAATTGTAAATTACTCACAGATGAAGTTCAGCTCTTGGGTAGAAGGGACTCTGCGCCTTTCCTCTAGAGCTGGATAAGGATTTAATGCTGAGTAAGAGTCTTACCCTTCTGAAGTGCTTCGGCACACAACTTCAAAGTCAAACCAGAAGCAAATTACTTTGCTAATGAAGAATTCAGTGCAAGATAACTACTTTTTCATAGATTTGAAGATCTCCTTATTTGCCAAAGTAAATTGTGTGCATATTGTGCATATTAAAGCTTGCAAAGCATAGAAATTCATCTTTGTTTTAACCTGTTATTCCAGTTAATAGGAAAATCAACAGGTATCTTTCGGCTCTGTGGAATTCTTTGGATATAAGGAAGATCATACTGGAGTCTAAGCATCATACTGTTTTTCTTATCTTTGTCATAGCTCTGTCAGGGAAATGGAAATGCTAGAAGCTAAGTCAGTCTCAAACTGAAAGGCCACAGAGCCGTTAAGAAAGGTTGCATTAGATTTGCTGATCAATAAATTCAGAAACAACTCTGGAGCAACTGTATGAAATTGCCCAAACCTGTTCATAGATCATTTTTTTCTCATCTTTGAGCCCATTTTTTTGCATTTTTTCATGCCCTTACAGGTAAGCATGTTGTCAGCAGGGTGTTGTATTTGCCTTGTCAATAAGTTGTTATAACCCAAAGCCTGGTCAGACTTTAATGTATCATAAGAGTTCCCCTTTCTGAGCATCTCATTTATTTGCAGAGGAATATGGAGTAGCATCACTTGGGGTTCTGAGCTGTAGGCAATCTCAAACTGAAGAGAAACAGTGCAATCTCAGCCAGCATGAGAAAAATGACAAAGCTGCTCTAGGTTGCTAGAATGTGGAATTTCACCACAAGTTCTTGTGGGACTGCCCGGCACTAGTAGGGAGCATGGAGACCCTGAAATGTAGAGAAGAATTATTATTTTTTTTCATAAGGAAAAAATTCTTATCTTAGAGATTGAAAGTGTTACTTGCTTCAAAATCCCAATTCATAAGGTCACTCCTGGTCAAAAAAAAAAAAAAAACACTTTTCTTATACCATCTATCCCCCTCTGTTAGGATTTGTGTAGCAACTTATACCTTTTTATTTCTTAATGATGTAACTCAACACTCTCATTTTTAATAAGCCCATCTTGTCTCTTAGATTTAGTCATTATTAATGTGTTGGCTCCTGTTTTCATTATATTAATTTTTAGTACTCTAATTTTATTGTATTTAAAACTTAAATCAATAAAAAGCATAAATGCTGTTCTTTTGAGATTGGATGAGCAGTCCAATTTTACTAGCCTCTTTCACAAAGAGATCTAAAACATAAGCTATTGCCACCATTATAGCTATTGTGAGAGAAGTGCTCGAGAAAGGGAAACTTAGAGAAAACTAGAGTCTAACAGAAGGTATGGTATTACAGAGGCTTGCTTGAGGGGAGAGACAGTTGCCACTTCCAGGATGGTTGGTATATGCGGAATCTACTTCTCCATGATTCCCTTGGTAACACAATCTATCTGCCCTCCTAGCACTCATTAGTAAGAGTAAACAAGAGTAGAACAGAACAGAGACACCATGGCCAAAATTTATTGGCTTCCCTGCGGAGGCGGTAATTTGATGGTCCCATGCAGGCGAGTGAATGGAGAGGAGTGAAGACACCACAGCCAAACTCTGTTGTACTCCCTGCAAAGGTGGCAACCTGGTCGTACCACACAGCTGATAAGCCACATGCGATGTCTGGTGCTGGGCCAACGATGGTGGCAGATCTGTCCTTTCCGATAGACTTTGCTCAAACTTCTCCTCCTTCTAATATCAATATAATACCAATACACAACCCCATCCCAGAAGTTACCTGCTTCCAAGGAACAACCACTCCTCACTGATCATGCTCTCTAGATTATCGATTAACTTGGGAGAATGTTTTTAACCATTATTCATTAATGAATAATGAAAGTAAGTATGACTAAAGTCACACAAGTGCCACATGTGCCACAGTGGACGTAAAAGAAAATATATAAAAGGTGAACTAAGGAGGGATATAGGAGGAAGGAAGTATGGGGTGGTA